CTCCTTCCTTCATCCTCCTTCCTTCATCCTTCTGCCTTCACCCTTCTGCCTTCATATTCCTGCCTTCATCCTCCTGCCTTCATCCTCCTTCCTTCATCCTCCTTCCTTCATCCTTCTGCCTTCATCCTGCTTCCTTCATCCTTCTTCCTTCATCCTCCTTCCTTCATCCTCGTTCCTTCATCCTCCTTCCATCATCCTCCTTCCTGCATCCTCGTGCCTTCATCTTCCTTCCTTCATCCTGCAGCCTTCGTCCTCCTGCCTTCATCCTCTTGCCTTCATCCTGCTTCCTTCATCATCCTTCCTTCATCCTCCTTCCTTCATCCTCCTTCCTTCATCCTCCTGCCTTCATCCTGCTTCCTTCATCATCCTTCCTTCATCCTCCGTCCTTCATCCTCCTTCCTTCATCCTCCTGCCTTCAGCCTGCTACCTTCATCCTGCTGCCTTCATCTTCCTGCCTTCATCCTGCTGCCTTCATCCTCCTGCATTCATCCTCCTGCCTTCATCCTCCTGCATTCATCCTCCTGCCTTCATCCTCCTGCCTTCATCTTGCTTCCTTCATCCTCCTTCCTTCATCCTCCTTCCTTCATCCTGCTGCCTTCATCCTCCTGCCTTCATCCTGCTGCCTTCGTCCTCCTGCCTTCATCCTCCTTCCTTCATCCTCCTGCCTTCATCCTCCTACCTTCCTCCTTCTTCCTTCATCCTCCTGCCTTCATCCTCCTACCTTCATCCTCCTGCCTTCATCCTCCTACCTTCATCCTCCTGCCTTCATCCTCTTGCCTTCATCCTCCTACCTTCATCCTCCTTCCTTCATCCTCCTGCCTTCATCCTTCTACCTTAATATTCCTGCCTTCATCCTTCTTCCTTCATCCTCCTTCCTTCTTCCTCCTGCCTTCATCCTCCTGCCTTCATCCTTCTACCTTCATATTCCTGCCTTCATCCTTCTTCCATCATCCTCCTTCCTTCATCCTCTCATCCCTTCCTTCTCCTCATTCCATTCTTTTTCCCCTTACCCTCACTCATGTCTTTTCCCCTCCCCTCCCTCCTTCCCCTCCCCTTCCCCTCCCCTTCGCCTCCCCTTCCACTCTCTCTCTCAATACATAAGAGAAAAAACTTGAGATTTAGGAAGAAAATAGGTGGGAAAGTGGTTAGGTGGGAGGGGGTAGTGGTTAGGTGGGAAGGGGTAGTGGTTAGGTTGGGGTAGTGGTTATGTGGGAGGGGGTAGTGGCTATATGGGAGGGGGTAGTGGTTAGGTGGGAATGGTAGTAGTTAGGTGGGAGGGGGAAGTGGTTACGTGGGCAGGGGTAGTGGTTAAGTGGGGGTAGTGGTTAGGTGGAAGGGGACAGTGGTTAGGTAGGAGGAGGAGTGGTTAGGTGGGAGGGGAAAGTGATTAGGTAAGTGGGGGGAGTGGTTAAATGGGAGAGGAAAGTAATTAGGAGGTTAGGGAAAGCAATGAGGCTTCATGTTAAGTAATTAGGTACCTTGCAACTGCAAACACCTACTTACTTCCTTGCAAGACAACAAAGTATTCAAGGGTGAGGAGAAGGGTAATTAGGTACCTTGCAACTCCAGGACTCACAGGCAGTCCCTTAACGACCCTTAATCATCATGCGATGACCTTAATTGGCTGGTCAACAGACGCTCCAATCAAGTGAGAGAGAACATAATGGCATCAAGCTGTGACGTCACCAACAACGTGGCTACCTAACGAGCATCAGGTGCTGAGACGACTCAAGGTCGTAGGGATAATAGGTAATTTGGTCTGTGGATCAGGTTAAGGCTTAGGTAACGACCTTAAGGAACTACCTGCCCAGCCCCTTGACACCTTCCTAACTACTGACTGTCTAGATACACCTAGCTACTCTGTTACGTGCTCAGACACCTTATTAGCGGTGCCTAAATAACATTCATATGATCTTTTGATCTGGTTTGA